CGGATTAGGGCGTTCCCGGTTTAGGTTCCAGGTTTAAGGTTTAAGATTATTCCTGCTGGGAATAGGGCGTATCCTGCTGCCTGAGTTCCCCTTGAGTTCTCACGGGATTCAGACAGTATATTTTGGAGATAGAAGCCCAGTGGAGGTGGATTTGGGCAGAGAATGTGGATTTGGGCAGAGAACGTGGATTTCCCCAGAACGTGATTGTAGATGGCTGGTGTGAGTTCGGGAATAAAGAGTTGCTGTTTGAATCTACAAGCTGTGTGGTGGCTCCTGATTGTGTACCCAGCCAGACTGCGGCATTTGTGCCCAGCCAGACTGAGGCAGACAAATATATGTGAATAGATGTCTATATGTACATATGTACACACACACACAAACTTACATGCTGAGGCCGAGTTTTTTATAACAGGCCAAGGAATTTTCTTTGACATAGCAGTGCCAATTGCTAATCTGTGCTACATTTTTTTGCATGAACACATTCATAATGCATCATATGATTTCTGGTTTTTAATTAACTTGAAGTAGATAGAAGCTTAAGAATAATTGCTGAACACCCTGAGTACAGAATTCTTCTAGATTTTTATCCTATTATTTCTTTTTTGTTATGTATTTTATAGCTATCTCCCTCACACCTAAAATTAGGGAAAAAAATGATTGTGGTAAAACATAGAATAAAAGCTACATTTTAACCATTCTTTATACAAGTCAAGAACATTAACTGTGTTCACAATGATGTGCAGTAATCATCACTATCCATTTCCAGAATTTTTTTTTAATCTTCCCAAATAGAAACTATGAACTCTTTAAACAATAAAGACCCATTACCCTGTACTCCCAGTCCTTGGTAACCTCTATTCCTCTTTCTATTTCTGTAAATTTTGCCTGTTGTAGATACTCACGTAAGTGAAATCATGCAGTATATATCCTCTGTATCTGGCTTATTTCAATTAGTTTAATATCCTCAAGGTTCTTCTTTGTTGGAGTCTGTGTCAGAAATTTTCTTTCTTTTCATGACTAACAAATACACTTCTGTATGGTATACTACATTTTGTTTATCCATCATCTGTCAGTGGACATTTTCCCCCAGGTTTTGGCTATTGTAAACAATGTTTCCATGAATATTGGTGTAGAAGTATCTGTTTGAGTCTCTGTTTTTAATTCTTTTGGATCATGCCCAGGAGCAGAATTGCTGGATCATATGATAATTTTATGTTTACTCTTTTGAGGAACTGCCAAACTGTTCCCCCCCACCAAAAAAAAAAAAAAAAAAAAAAACACTTTCTCTTACATCAGTTTGTCTTTGTGAAGAATTTCCATGACTTTCAACCTGGTTTTCACAGAAGCAACGATTGTCTTTTCTTCCAGTCCTGTATTAATCAGTTTGAGCCATTTAATTAAATTTTATCATCACAATAACAAGTCCAAGTGTTTAGAAATGCATACAATTAATATTCACTAAGTGTACAACTCAGCTGGCAAGACCAGCAGTGCTTAGAGAGTAAGTTTTCAGCCTTGACCCCAGAGTGCTGTGGGTACCAGCCAATACAAAGAACAGATCGTGGAATGGATGGAGTAGACTGGTTAATCAGGCTAGTTCAGTGCTTGCAGGTGAAGAAAGCTTCTGCTACTCACCTAAATTGACCTTGTCATGATAAAATATGTAAGAAATTATTGTGGCAGATCTAGAAAAAAAATCAGCCGCTCTGGAGAAAGGCAGACTGCGAAGGCTAAAATAGAGTGAGAAGTTGGCTGATCTGGTCAATTTTGTATAAATTATTGAATGTAAGAAAAGACTAACGATCAAGAGCAGCAGGTTGTTTTCCCAGGCCACTTCCCACTGCGGATGATAAATGAAAGAGAAACAGGGGAAAGGGAGTTGTACCTATTCTTAGGAAAAAGATAGCTTTCAAATTAAGATTCCATGCTAAGATGTGATTAGAATGTGTCCTCGACCATTCCAAAGTGAAATCATGAAGCTATAGAAGGAATACTTTTATATAGCATCTTCCATCCTTGTTAGCTACCCAAATGATTAAAGGCTTGAGAATTGCCCCCTCTAAATATGGCCTGAAGGAACTGGGTTTATTTAGCTTAGAGAGAGAAAGCAAGCATGCTGAGGGGGACTTAATAATAGTCTCTGAGAATATGAGGGATATTCTCTGAGTGATGGAAAGCAGCTGTTTCCTGTTTCCACTAAGGACTGCATAAGAAGAGTGGAGTTAAATTGCAGCAAGTGGGTGTAAGGACTCCTTGTCCATAAAGTTCAAGACAATAAGCCCACAAGACTAAAGTCACTTCTCTGCCTCAGAACTATAATAGCTAACTCTTTTTGGGGGTGATTTACATGTAGCCTGTTCCTGAATCTTGAACTAGTAAAACATCTAGACGACCTTTCACCCTTTCAGAGTATGAAGTTGTTCATTGTCTGAGCTGGCTAATGCCCTGATTGTGGAGGAAGCCATTATCCTCAGTCTTTCATGATATTTAAACCAGAAAGAACTCCAGTCTCTTTGCTCCCTTTTGTTGTGTTTTCGGAGCAAGATAATCCAGATTTATTCCTTCTCTATGAGGTAAAGAATTTTCATAGACTTGCCAATATGTATTTTTATTGTCCATTTGGTCAGTATGGTCATGATTTATTTATTTAAAAGAAATTCAGTGTCTTCAGTGATATTGAATATTATACATATATATATATATATGTGTGTGTGTGTGTGTGTGTGTGTGTGTGTGCACGTACATATATGTCACATATGTCATGGGCATTTAATATGTGATACATTTATTTTGATACATAATTAAACTATTAAATCATTATGTGATATATATCACATAATAATGAAAGCAATATTTTAGGACCATAGAAAATATGCAAAACATTATGTAATAGTGCATTACTACAGGAGATCAGCTAGGAGAAAAATCTAAAGACAGAAAAAGGAGTTCTGGGTATGTTATTAACTTTTAGCCAGTAAGACAGATGGAAATGCCTGAGAATTTCTTCTCAAGCATTATTTTTATCCTTCCTATCCTATGTTAGTTTAATTATGCCATTTATTCTGAAGTGGATAAGTAGTGTCTTACTTGCCCAACTGGGAGTTATTTTCAAGGCAAGCTTTGATTCCCAGAGGACCGACTGATGTTAAGCAAAGTTACAGCTTTATGTCAGCATTAACTGTGTGTACATTCCACCATGGTATATTTTCATCCTGTACCGACATCTATTATAATCTTATTTAAAGATCTCTGCCTTTATTATTAAATGTGTTCTGCCATCTGGAAAGGGGTCAGGGTGAATCATGATCTGACTTTGACTTCCCTAACTTTTTTTTTGGCTTTCCAAATTCCAGCACTGAAGTAGAAAAATGACTTAGAGTTGCTTTGTATCCTCTTTCTGTGCTTGTTCACTGTGAGGGACTGAGGGACTTACTTCACCCCCCTGAGTTTCTGTGTCTTTAATCTACCTTACAGCAATATTTTGAGGATTACATTAAATGAAACAATGTGTGCCAAACCCAGAGCCTGTTGTGCCCAGCCCCCAGCCCTCGAGTCATGTTTATTTGCTTCTGTAATTCACAAAAAGAATCATTTGCCTATTGAAGGATCATGATTGCTTCTGGATTCTCTTTATTTATAGGGGTTCTTTGGACCATTGGGGCAGGCCTGTAGAATATGATTTGTGAAAAATTCATGAGGACACCCAAGAGTCCAATCATAAAATCTCTTTCCTTTTTTATACTTTCTTAATCCAGAAAAAATGGCTACTATAATGCCAAATATTCTTGTGTTGTCAAATCACCTGGAATAAATTGTGTCTACACACTGACAGGGAAAATGCATTTTAAAATCAATAGGAAATCACACTTTTTTTTTTTTTTTTTGCTTTGCAAGGCTAACAGAGAGTTAATAAATTATCTAGATCTTCAGAGAGTCACTTAATAGACAATGATTCAACTGAGTCCTATGCTTTGAAATGCTATCAAGTTGAAAGCATGATCCTTGACTTGGAGAAGCTTGTAAACTTGTAGAAGAGACCAAACCCATAAGTATGAAGAATTAGACTGAATGTAAGAAAGGACAGAGAAAACAGGTCCTAAGCCCCTAAGTACTGAGGAAGCAGAGGCTGTAGGTTGAGGGGGGGATTTACTGTAGCTCTAGGAGACTTAGGATGGTGGATTGGTTCATAAAACATTACTGTTTCAAGATAGAATTGTTGAAAACCACCACAACTATTCACTTCCCATAGAAACCCAAGAACATGCTGCAGTTGTTCTTTACTTATTTGAAATCAACATTTCTTTCTAAAGTCTCAGTTTTGAGCTGATTTGCTTTCAGCCTCTCAGAGGCACACTGTGCCAGATTGCTCTTGCCCAGATTCATTCTTAGGCTGTGGGATATGGAATATCTTTATAAATCATCACAAGTCGTACTGAGAGTAAAAATCTCAGCTAGAGTCTTACCTCAAAAGCTGAGGCAGGACACATATTTTAATGCCAATGGATTTAGGAACCAAGGTTAGGACCTTGCTGTCTTTGGCAGAAGATTTATAATTCAGGGACTTTGGAGGGTGAGCGTTGGGTTTTCTGAACAGGACCTCTCCCCGTGTCCCTCTCTGTACCCCGGCTCCCCAAATTAAAAGAAATAAGGAAGCAGAACAACAAAACCATTAACTTAATAGCATAGAATTTATGGCCAAAATCTCACAAAGCTTATGTCAGCAAAGCAAAATAATTACTGCCACTTTCTTTTAGACACTTGGCTTTATGGTTCCCATCACCTTTATCATAACATGCAGCTGATTTAGTAGCTCTATTTTTCATGGCAAATGGCCTGGTGTTATGTTTTTATGCATGTGGCCATGCTTGAGATGACAATACGTGGACACACTGGTGTGCAGCTAAATTTAGATAATGAATCAGGATAATGTTAATGGTTTGGGTTTCGTCAGGCTGTCGGTCTGCCAACTGAGCTTTGGCTCTTGCCTTTTCTCCCTCTAGATCCTCAAATCCAAAGATTTAACATCTCCAACCCAGCGCTACATTGACAGCAAAGTCGTGAAAACAAGAGCAGAAGGCGAATGGCTGTCCTTCGATGTGACTGATGCAGTTCATGAGTGGCTTCACCATAAAGGTTATAACCACCTTCTAGTTTTCTCCCTAGATGTGGCCCTAAGTTATTGTAAATTGATTGCAGATTTAAAAGTGCAGATAATATACTTACAAATGACCTCCTTGACTTAATGTTTTCCAGATAGGAACCTGGGATTTAAAATAAGTTTACATTGTCCCTGCTGTACCTTTGTACCATCCAACAATTACATCATACCAAATAAAAGTGAAGAGCTAGAAGCAAGATTTGCAGGTAACTGAAACTATGTGGTGGGGGAGGGCTTGTGTTGATAATCTCATGAGGATAATGTCACTTTGCATTGTTGGATGAAGTGTGGGGAATCATTCATCTGGGCAAAAATATGGCTGGAAAAAAGTATAAGGAGGCAGAAAAAATTAGAAGAAAGGGATTGTTTCCCGGTTTTCATACTCGGCAGTACCCCACCATGACTTGGTCAATACTAACTGATTGGCTCCTTGACCCTGAAAAATATTGACTAGTCAGTTAAACTCTTTATTCTTCATTTAAGCAAAGCTCATTTTCCATCTATTATGATATTATAGAACTATATGACATACACTCAGTGAAATCCATTGATAAGTCCCTAAACCAAATATCAGAAACCGACAACTGTTTTTCATCAGAGAAAAGAGTCCTCTCAAGCCTCAGTTTCTATGCCTTAACTTTCCTGTGTTGGAAAAGTCGCCCTTTTCTAGCCTGTACCCAATATTTCAAGTTTCTTCCTTATCAGACTTTTATAATAGCTGATAAACACAAGGCAAGGCTTTAGATTTCCCATGCCCACCTTTAAGTGAACTAACCAAAAACCAGAGAGAATGAGAAGACGCCAAGGGCTTGGGTCACTTGGTACATTGGATAATGAGTCACTGGGGAAAGAGACCAGAGGGAAGCCTGTGCCCATGTGCCAGTGCCACATCGGCCTACACTGCCAGGTCAGGGAGCTGATTTTTCTTCCCTCCTAACATCACCTGGGACCTCCATCCACTTTTAAAAGGCTATAGTGGCCCCCGCTCATGGAAAAATGCTCCCAGAGGTTTCGAGATTTATTTCAGTCTCTAACCTAGTCATGATTCTCTTGAGTGTGGAGATTAAATGCTTAAACTGGCAGTCTCCTGAGCATGCTTTGGGGAGCTCAAGTTTCTAAATCTCAGATGGAATCAGGAAAGTGTTGAGGATGCCATAAAATAAATGAAAAAGCCCTTTCTTTGCAGCTTCCCAAAATAGCATTAGGTAAGGGTGACTTCTGTTTCACTTGAACTTATTTCACTGCCATGGAGCTAAGTCTCAGTTTAGGCTCATTAGGAAAGTCTTCTGAGTTTAGCAGTCTTAGGAAGAATGTGAGCCTGCGGGTGACAAGGCATGTTCTATGGCTGCACGTTCATTTGTGGAGGGTTTGAACACAGCCTACACTGAGGATCAACTAAATTAAACTGCCTAGGTTGCTAGTGGCCATAGGTCAAAGTCTTCTTCTGCTGTGACTTCCTAAGCAACATCCCTGCCTTTGATGCTGTGCTGCCTTCTGATAAGAGCCCCACATACAAGTGTAGTCACCTGTGGTAGTCCTATTGTGCCACATCTGTTTCCATGGGGAATGACTATAGCCAGCCAATGCTGTCATGGTGGTCATCACTGCTATTTGTGACAATATACAAAAAAGAAAAAAAAAAAAATATATATATATATATATAAATATAGCTGATAATATATGATGAAGGTAAAGCTAAATGTTTATTACCCAAATGCATTTTTTCAAGGTATTGATGGCACCTCCACATATACCAGTGGTGATCAGAAAACTATAAAGTCCACTAGGAAAAAAAACAGTGGGAAGACCCCACATCTCCTGCTAATGTTATTGCCCTCCTACAGACTTGAGTCACAACAGTCCAACCGGCGGAAGAAGCGTGCTTTGGATGCGGCCTATTGCTTTAGGTAAGAAAATGGAGATAAAACCGAGCACCTGTGTCTGTTATACCTCCTTCTGCCTTTACTTTTTCCTACATATTGACTTGAGTTGAACTCATAGACTGAGGATAGACAGAGGACAGTACAGCCCTGGTATCTTGTGATACTGTTCCTCTCAGAGGCTTTGAGCAGTTATTTCTCTGTTGTATTCACCAGCCCGTGACCAAAGAACGAAGGGTGAAGGGGGAAAACTAGCCCCCCATGATGATCCCCCAAATCCCTCTGAAGGGCTTTGATGCTGAAAAAGAAAATGAGCTCTCTACCCTTCTCCTCAGAGAAAATAAATTCATTCTAGATGTGTGACGTTGACTCTATAATTCAGGAAGACCCACCATCTGTGTGACCTTACACTTCTCTTCAGAATGCCTGTGGTGACATTTTTTTTGACAGAAACAGAGATGAGATAGCAGAGAGTGCCATTAGCTACAGAATCTTACAGAAATGGGGGAACAGGACGAGAACTTATTTCTCATTCTGTGGTTTCCTATCCAGTTTGGTAAAAGGAGGGCTCTCTCTTTTGAGAGTTGTGGGACGATGCCGGGTTCTCCATGATAGCAGTGTCAGAGGTCACCAGGAGATGGCATTTTTCACTTTCAGAACCTGTGATTGCATGCAACTTTTTCCTTGATTTCTAGTATATTATGACGAAGTAATGGGTGGTAAAATGCAGGATATATTCTCAAAGATAAATGCCTTAGATGGTTCTCTGAAAATAACTGTTGTACTTTGTTTTTAATGTAAAAGGACAATAGAAGCTAGCTGGCACAACTGCACAGTGGTGGTTAGAAAGGAAGGTCCCTTTCAACCACCTCCCTGCATAAGCATTTGACAGTAAAGGTTTGACTTTATAGGTCACAGACAAGGGAGTCAGGGGATAGGACTCATAAGGGAAAGTCATCCAGCAGGTCATCACAGCATCCTATCATCAAAGTCACTTGAGATTACAATAAGACCACTGAAACCTAGCCCAGGCTATGTGGTCATTAGATGTTTGTTGAATAAACGAATGGGTAGTTCTTCTGGTTTGGGATAAGGCAGGTGGGAAATCAGCTTTAAAATCTCCACTGATGTTTCTTTCAACAGAAATGTGCAGGATAATTGCTGCCTACGTCCACTTTACATTGATTTCAAGAGGGATCTTGGGTGGAAATGGATACATGAACCTAAAGGGTACAATGCCAACTTCTGTGCTGGAGCGTGCCCATATTTATGGAGTTCAGATACTCAGCACAGCAGGGTAAGTGTTTGGCTAACTCATCTCCTCTGTTCTAGGCTGTCTGCTATTGTATTTTTAAATGAACTGTAATGGTCTTTATGCCCTTTTGCCATCATGTGTGCCTAGGTGCTGGATAAATCTTTTTAGATGAGGAGAAATGTAGCCTGTAGGTAAAATAAAAAAGTAACACTGATCCCTTTCAAAAGCAGATTACACCTTCTCATCAAGATCATAAGTGACTTGAAGAGAGTTTTGTTTCTTGTAGTATATTTTTAACAGCTATAAACATAATTAGGTTCCCCACTCCACACACACAAAAACACTTTGAATCAATATACACAGAGTGTCATATATAGCTAAGGTGTGAAGGGACCCAGAGGTCCATCTAAAAAAGTATCTGTTATCACCTCCGTTTGGGACTGACATATTAGAAATAACACTGAAGACTGCAGTTGGTGCTTTGGTGTATGATTTACTGTAGTAGGAGAATTAGAAAGTCCTTTAACCTCTCTGAACCTTAAATTTCTTATCAGTAAGAAGGAATGTCTATATTAAAAGTTATTATTTTTTTTTTTTTTGGTTCCAGGGACTGAACCCAGTGGGCCTTACCCATGAGCCACATCCCCATCCCTTTTTATATATTAGTTTGAGACAGGGTCTTACTGAGTTGCTTAAGTCCTCGCTAAGTTGCTGAGGCTGGCTTTGAACTTATCATCCTCCTACCTCAACCTCCAAGCTGTTGGGATTATAGGTGTGTGCCACCAAAAGTTATCTTTAAATTGATAATGCTGAACTGGAGAGTTGTTGTGAAATACAAAAAATGATACATGTGAAATGATTGGAAAAATTAGCATAAATCTTTCTGGATATAACCCAAAGTAATCAAGAATCTGCATATATTTAGTCAAGTTATTTCCATCAAGATAGAGAGCTAACTCAGAAGGCAGGTCCAAGTTTGGATGCTGTGAGTTCCCAAATCCAGATCAGCAAAATCTTTTTCTTTATAATAATGCTATTTGTCCATAGGCTTCTTCCTTCCTACATCCTTCATGATATAGGATTATAGAGATGGGAGAGACTTCATAAATAATCTTGATCAAACCTTAACATTTAAAAAAAAAATCAGAATGTCGATTGTGTACATGACTTGCCCAAGATCAAACAGAAAATGAGGGACAAACCGGGGCTTGGAAGGCAGCCGTCCTTTTTTATATAACCAGGCCTCTATTTGCTCTGTCTTACTGAGTATAATTCCTAAAATGTGGCTTCACATGGGGGTTTCTATTCTGCTCTTTATGCATCTGTAAATCTCCCTATTAAAGCGGCATTAGAAAAATTGCCTTCACTGCAGGGTAGGAAAATGAACCTGCTGCCAAAAAGAGCACAGAATGCATTCAGCTGAATTCAAGAGTTTGGGGGGTTATCAATTATTTTAGACAATCTAAATGTTATAAAAATTCCTCCTAGTTCTCATGAAAAATCATGTGTTAGTGGAATACGAAGTATATTTATTTATAAATGCCTGCATAAGCTGGAAATGAAATTGACAGATATGGTTCCCCTTCCTTCAGCTGTTTTCCCAACTCCCCTGAAGGCTTTGGCACTCTCGGGTGACCACGTGCTTGCCCATGTGAGGGAAGCTTGCTCATGCCTGTCCCTTTGTCTGAGCTCTCTGGCCAGGCTGCTTCATCTGGGCTGCGGCAGCAGTAGCTGTAATGTGGGCACGGCCCAGCTGCCAAGTAGAAACATAATTCTCCTCCCCGATACACAGAGGGAGTGTGTGAAGGCTGAGACCAGGCTTGTTTTTCAAGGAGAGAGGAAGAATAACTGTCATGGTCACAAATATGTGGTTTGGACTGTTACCCAAGACACCAGGGGTAGCTTAATAAAGTAGTCAGTGTTGCTGCACTGAACAGATCTTGTGTCTTAGGATGAAAAAATTGCAGTGAATCTCGAGGAAAAGGTCACTTACTGTTTGACTAACACATTAATGGCATCCTTGGAAATGTCTCTGTGTCATCAGTGTGGATCCTACATACTTCCATTAGTAAAAGTCATATACGCTTTGATACAGAATGGGAATAAAAGTACAGGGCTAACTACACAACTTTGTCTTCATTCCGTTTTAGAACTGGCAGTCCACTCCTCCCTCTCAGCCACTACCATTTATCATATGAAAGGTTAATGGAGGGTTCATTATTATTTTTAATGTACTTTCTGGTTGTACATGGACACATTACCTTTATTTTATTTATTTTACTTTTATGCAGTGCTGAGGATCGAACCCAGTGCCTCACTTGTGCCAGGCAAGCACTCTACTGCTGAGCCACAACCCCAGCCCCATGGAGGGTTCACTATTAATACTGCTTTTAAGAAAAATCTAAGAAAGTGAATAATGAAGAATGTAGATTGCGTTTGATGTCATTCTTAACATCATTGCAGTTATGAAGCAACAAATGAAAAGACTTTTAAATGAAAAGACTTTTAAAAATGGCAATTTAGGCCAGGTGGCATGGCACATGCCAGTAATTCCAGTGATTTGGGAGGCTAAGGCAAGAGGATTGCAAGTTGGCGGCCAGCCTCTGTAATTTAGGGAAGTCCTAAGCAACTTAGTAAGACTGTCTCAAAATAAAAAAACAAATAAAAAAGCTGGGGATGTAACTTAGTTGTAAAGTAGTGCCCCTGGATTCAATCCCCAGTACAAAAAAAGAAAGAAAGAAAAACAACAATTTGGTAACATTAAATTGTCCTGCAAAGATAATTAACATAGAAAGATTTTACATTATAGAAAGGTGTCTTTCTCTATGCCCAAGGGTAAGGTGAAGCTCTTATGACAATTTTAAGCATTTTATTATTTTTTCTTTTTATTCATGTATCTATGATCTCTTCACCTAGCATACATGTATTATTTTGTCCAGTAAAGACTTACTAGGGCTACATGGTACAAAGTCTACAGAGTCCTCAACCTCAAAAGATCTCTTAATCTTCTTGGGAATTTAAAACATACATTCACAAACAATTTCTATTAAAAAGTAGTATAGAAACAAGAACAAATACTACAAGATCTGGCAAATTTATGTGGCAGTGATCAGAGTAGGCAAGTTGGGAAATTAGGAAAATCTGAAGAATGAGTAATTTTGTCCAATCTGACTTTTATAGATCATTTGTTTAAGATGCACGAAAAAAAGCATCTAGTGCAGAAAGGGTGAGTTTGGTGATTGCTAAGGACACATACCAATCTGACCAAAATTTAGAGTTAAAAAAAAAACAAAAACAGTAATATACCCCAAATAATTAAAATTGCCTACTATAAGTGCTGTGGCTGATAACAATGTAAAATGGTTATTGAAAAGATAATATGGCTTTTCTTTCTCTTTTTTTTGTTTTTGCTCTTATATTGGTCTTGCCCTGTGGTATCACTCCTTTCCTGTGTCTCTTCAGGTTCTCAGTTTATATAACACCATAAATCCAGAAGCATCTGCTTCTCCTTGCTGTGTGTCCCAAGATTTGGAACCGCTAACCATTCTCTACTACATCGGCAAGACACCCAAGATCGAACAGCTTTCCAATATGATTGTAAAGTCTTGCAAATGCAGCTAAACTTCTTGGAAAAACGACAAGGCAGAAATCATGATAACAACAGCAACGACCATGATGATGCTTGTAACAAGAAAACATAGAGAGCCTTGTTTCATCAGTGTTAACAGATTTTGAAAAAGCGGTACTAGTTCAAATACTTTGGAAGTTTGCGTTCTGTTTGTTAAAACTGGCATCTGAAACAAAAAAAGTGGAAGGCCTTATTCTACATTTCACCTACTTTGTAAGTGAGAGAGAAGAAGCAAAATCTTCTTTTTTTTTAAGAAAAAAATAAACACTGGAAGAATTTGTTAGTGTTAATTATGTGAAAGAAAAAAAAAAAAAAACAGGAAAATCCCATTAAGTGGAGTTGCTGTACGTACCGTTCCTATCCCACGCCTCACTTGATTTTTCTGTATTGCTATGCAATAGGCACCCCTCCCGTTCTTACTCTTAGAGTTAACAGTGAGTTATTTATTGTGTGTTACTATATAATGAACGTTTCATTGCCCTTGGAAAATAAAACAGGTGTATAAAGTGGAGACCAAATACTTTGCCAGAAACTCATGGATGGCTTAAAGAACTTGAATTCAAACGAGCCAGAAAAAAATAAGAGGTCATATTAACGGGATGAAAACCCAAGTGAGTTATTACATGACCAAGCGAGTCTGCATTAAGATAAAGACCCTGAGAACACATGCCGTGTACCAACTGCCTAAGGAAGCTTCGTGTAAGGTTCAAACACTAAAAAGCCTGTTAATAAGAACAGAATGAGTCTGTAAGATTTTTTTTTTTTTAATTTTCCTTTCAATTGTAAATGGTTCTTTGTCAGTTTGGCATACCAGTGAAATGTTGAAATGTTTTGACATGTACTGATCAAACTTAGGACCTTCGAGTATTGCTGTATAGCTATGCTACGGTTTTTATTTTTTCTTTGTTTTGGTATATGTAACCAGTCCTGTATTATTAAAATAGATGGGCATAGAAGCCAGCATAATTGAAAACACATCTGCGGATCTCTTTTGCAAACTATTAAATCAAAACATTAACTACTTTACGTGTAATGTGTAAATTCTTACCATATTTTTTATATTCTGTAATAATGTCAACTATGATTTAGATTGGACTTAATTTGGGCTCTTTTTAATGATCATTCACAATTGTATGTTTCCTTTAGCCGGCCAGTACTTTTGAGTAAAACCCCTAGATTTTGACTTGCACTATAAATACATTTTTAAAATAGTATCTGCTCTACTTGTGCTTTGTGTATTGTTCATTTTTATGACATAAGCTACCTGGGTCTACTTGTCCTTTTTTTTTCCTTTTATGAAAAGAATAGATTTGAGTTCAAGTGGTCTTCCTTCATCTTCTAAGCATAATTCATAACCAAGTCAGTTAGGAAGCTTCTACTTTAGGAAAATGGGGATATTGTGAACACATAGATAAGTGAGGGAAATGTTTTAGTTTTAATGAGGGTTTGAAGATCTGAACTCAGAATCTTGGACTGAGTTAAGAAAGTGTTCTCTAATTTGACTTAATTAGTGTTTTCACAGAATTTCATTATTACTTTAAAGCGGGCAGTTCAAGGAGAACATCTTTTCCTTTAAAGTGAGATTTTTAGTGTTAACGGGAAATTGAAAAAAATAGACATTTTATTTGGTTTTTCAAAAGAGGGAAGAGTCCAGGTCAGCATTAGTCATTTCATTCATTTCACTGAAGTTAAGATTTTTATAGATGTTCTTTGAAGGTTAGAAAGGCACAAGCCAGAGCCTCCCCTCATCAAAACATTCTTTCCTTCCTCTGAATGAGAGTCACCTATAGCTGAGGCTAACACTTACTTTGCTTTAATAACTGAGTTGCATCATTGCAGAGGAGGTACCTTGTGTCAGGTTTGTAGGATATGTTTGTCACTTATTCAGGTTTAAGATAAAAAATGTACAGGTAAAACAATGGAATATTTTCAGTTTCACCTAAAGGGCAGCAGAGTGAGGCATGAATCCAAAGAGAAGTTGATTGGTATGGTGTGCTTCTTTTTTGGAATTTCTCACCATGAATTCAAATGAAGAATTGGATTTTGCAAGTTTGAAAACTGGAAAAGCAAGAGATGGGATGCTGCAAATAGTGAACAATCCTTGTGTTGGGTGGAACCCAATCCCAGATTTGACTGTGTGTTATTTTTTTTCCTCTTCCACTTTTCTATTAATTCTGTGTAAATCACTTTAATTTCTGCAGGTATTTTCCTCTCAGATAAAACGACATTTTGTTTTGTATTATTTTGTCTTTCCTTATGAATGCACTGATAATATTTTAAATGCTCTATTTTAAGATCTCTTGAATCTTTTTTTTTTAATTTGGGGGTTCTATAAGGTCTTTATTTCCCATAAGTAAATATTGCCGTGGGAGGGGAGGGTGGTGGGAGGGAGTCGGGGAAGTGTTAGTACATGGGTGGGGACAGCAGTTTGTATGTGTTAAGCAGCATTACAATTTTATGGTTGGCATGGTTAAAAAGATGGAATATAAGAATAGCTGTTTTGTATTTTGATGACCAATTATGCTGTATTTTAACACAATGTATGTCTGTTTTTTTGTGGTGCTCTAGTGGTAAATAAATTATTTCAATTATATGTTGCTGTGTTTTTCTATTCTTAGTAACATCCTTGAGACCAGCAAACACCCGTGATGCATGATGCACTGAGAATATTCTCAAGCTGGAAAAGTCAGGTCACCCCTAAAGTTGTCCTTTGTACTTTTTTTTTTTTTCTTCTTCTTCTTAAGAATATTTGCTTCAGAAATGTCATGCTACAGCTCAAGAGCCAGGACATATCTATCAAGGACTGAAGAAAGCCCTGTGCAGTCTTTTTATTCTCTTATTTATTGCTATTTGGTAATTGTTTGAGATTTAGTTTCCATCCAGCTTGACCGTCTACCAGAAAAAATGCAGAGAGATATTTCCACCATGATTTGGCTTTCTGGTTCTATGTTCTGCCAACCCCAGGGCCAAAAGAACTGGTCTAGACAGTATCCCCCGTAGCCCCATAACTTGGATAGTTGCTGAGCCAGCCAGATGTAACAAGAGCCACGTGCTCTTTAGAGTTGGTTGTTGGGAGCAGCTTACTCCTCTCTCAGTTTCACCCATACCACTGTGCGCACGCATGTGTGTGCGACACTCACACACACACACACACACACACACACACACCACCTTATTCCCTCAAATATCCCTGGCTGTTACTTACAAGACCAGACTTCTCAAGTGAGTTGCAAGTCTCAATAAATAGAACTAATAAAAAAGTAGTTGTGACTCAATCTGGTTTTCTTGCTTTAGCTAATGAAAGAACTAGTTTGTGCCTGTTGTGTCCTCTGAGCATCACATAGAAACAAACCACCTAATTGAGTATTGAAGCATATAGAAAATGTTCCCTTTTCTGCAATCTTGCGTGTGTTTGATCATTTAAATGCAACTCCTAGGCAGAAGAAGTGTTCCACTCTCAACGTAGTTCAGCTTCTGTATAGAGTAAGTAGCTGGTGCCAGCCTATCGCTCCAGCTCACCACACATTTAATTGCTGAGGGTGGAAGGGTATTTTGGGATCACAGTGATGCATAGAGCCACCTAACAGTTGACCCTCTGGTGCATTTCTTGGCCACTTTATGTCTTTGTTTGTTGTTGATGGTGGTTGTGCTGGGGGTTGAACCCAAGGCCTGATACATGTTAAGCATGCAGGGCTATACTTGGCCCCACCATTTCATTTGAGGATAAGAACATCTGCCTTGCTGAATTTTGTCTGTTTCTTTTTGTGCCCTTGTGGTTAAGTGAATGAACCCCTGAAAAGTACTTGTCTTAGTGTTCGGTCTGTAGCTGATGCTCACTAAATGGTAATCTTGACAATATTTTTCAGCCTGTTCTGGTTTTAATTTATTTCAATCCTGTTGTAATGAGCATTTAATTGCCAGTGTACGGCCTAAGTCTACACTTCTGCATCTTGATACTGTAACCTTCAGATCCTTAGCTCATGAATTGATCAAGCCATCAGTCATTCCTGAAGATGTTGCATAACTCTGTATGTTAATCTTCTGGTTACATCAAGGGCAAAAAAAAAAAAGTTTAAGTTTGAGTGGGAATGCTCATTTTAAGCTTTGCTTAAATTTGAAAAAAAAAATCAAAAAAAGGGATAAGGTGTCCAGTTGCATGACTCTATCTTTAACATGGTAATGATTTTAGTGTTCCAAGCACATAATAGACACTGCTCTCTGCTAACTGATTAAATCTCACATTTAACCCTAAGATGTAGGTCTTTGTAATATAAATCCATTTTCAGGGAGGTAAACAGATGAAGCATGGTTAACTTAACTGGTCCAATAACATAGTTGGTAAGTAGAGGGTCTAGAACTCAATTGTACAATACACTAGCCACATGTGGTGACTTGAGCAATTTCAATATGGATAATATGAATTGAGATATGCTAGAAATATAAAATACACACCAGATTTTGAAGACTTAGTAAAAAAATGTAAATTGTAAAATGCATCATTTATAATACTTTTTATATTGGTTACATGTCTAAATAATATAATTTTAGATATATATGGGATTAAATAAAGTATATTATGAAAACTGATTTCACCTGTTTCTTTTTAATTTATTTCATGTGGTTATTAGAAAATTGAAAATTACATCTGTGGCTCATGATTATGCCTTCGATTTGTTGCTATTTAGATGGTTCTGGGGTAGCATTTGAAAGCAGCTGTGTTTAGAAACAAAAGCTCAGCCACTCCTTGAAGCTATATTTCCAGCCTTTGTTTCTGTCGTTGAACCATTTCAGGTCATACTCTGTGAAGCTGCTATTTTTGTAGGTCAACACGTGTTGAATAGTGGCAGTTTCTCTAGGGTGCTGATTGACAAAGGTCGTAATGAAAATACAAATCTCACGTAAACCTCAAGGGTTTACATAAACCCCACCTGCCATGTCCTGCTAAGTGACAGTGCAACCTACTCCTAGGCAAGCTGGGCCATCAGACCAAAAATCTTCACTAATGTGCTTGTGACAACTTTCCCAATCATGTTTAAGGGAGGAGTCACTGGCGTTGAGATGACATTGATTTTCTGGAAATAAGCTGGGCTCCTTCCTCACGCTAACAGCCCTAGAGGTATGGATCCAGGCTTTTATTTCTGAAACTAATATAAGTGGGGATACTTTCTAAAAAAAAAAAAAATGTCAAAATTTAAAGTACAAAATTTGATTTGGAGCCTTCAGGAAGAGCCCACAATGAATCTCTGGGCTTTA